AACCCCAAAACCTTTTGAACCTTGTAAGTTTTATTGGAATTAAAATGATAGATATATTATATATTTAAATTTCATTTTTTTATTCGAGAGGCTTTTTAACCCCATACTCGAATTTATATTATATAGAATATTTACAGGCAGAGTTTCAGGCTCTGTGACCTTGACTCACAGCATTCGTGTCGGCATGCTAGGGAACCAATCTACCGTCTCAGAATATCTCTTTACCGTCTAGATGGCCCCATCGCAGTTCGAACAAGTAGTCGGCTCTATCGCAGTTTAGCAGAGTCTCTCTTATTGATTTTAATTTTAATATTATAAAGAGAGATTATAATTCTCTGCTATTATATATCACCAGTCTGCGTAATTTTAATTTCTGGTGTCAATTTAATTCCCGATGTCCAATTAATAAAGCCTATTGGCTCTGATGATTATATCTTCTCAACCAAATTTGAAATTATAATTATTTAAATTTTAAATATAAAGTTGAGAAGTTCCTATGAACGACGCCATACTTCTTGGTGAGTCTACCCTTACCTAGGGTTTGGACAAGCTGAGAGTTATAGTAAGAGCACTCAACTAAAGCGTACGTACTATGGAGAACACCCTGGACTATCAAATTAAACATGAAGATTTCTACTCTGAAACTTTGAACCAGGTGTATCAAGAAAGAATCGAGGCCCGCCTACTGGAACTCAAACAAATGGAAGAGAAGCGGAAATCTCCATACAGGACTACTGCAACACCAGAAGAACTTTTAAGAACATTGGATTAGACAGTAGAAGACCTACTTAACAGAACTCCTTTTAGAGTCTTAGTGTTCAGTGAATTTAGTACTGCTCTCCGGATTTGCCGTAAAACGAACACCGAACACATTTTCCTGGCTAAGTACAATAAGCTTTGTGAAGCCTACTGCAATGTTGACAACGTAAGCAAAGAAGTAGAGCTCAAGGCCTAAAGTCAGGGTGATGAAAATCCCCTTAAACTATAAAAGGCTAATCATGGGTAATTAATGGCAATTATTTCTGACGAGAATCTGACTCAAAGTCAAATTGAAAGCCAGACTCTGCTAAAATTATCTGAGGTAAGCTCAATAATTATTTAGGATGAGAGTTTCATCGAAGCTGCTGTACCTACACAAACCAAGGTCAGCTATGCTTCTATACTAGCTTAAGTCTAGAAAACTCAGAGTCAATCCCATGAACCATCAGACCCCTCACATGGAATCCTCCACACTAATCTAAAGCGTATATTGGATTTCACCTTAGAATAGGCCCAGCCATACTAATCTTCACTGCTGGGTGTGAGGCCGCATTTTTTCTGGTAAATGAAAAGAAAGAAAGAGTCTGAATAAAGAATACAAGTCCTCGATGAATAATTCACCATGAATCCCTCTCTAGAGGAAATCAGGGATTCTATCTACTCTAAAGATCCCAGGCTTTTGTAGGCAATTGAGTCAATTTACTATAACTAACTACTCAGCGGATAAGTCCTGCTCCTAGGCACCATCAGACACTAGAGTAGTCTATTAATAACAGAGAGTCAAACAAAACAGACATTCGTAACAACAGGAAAGACTCTAAGTAAACCTTAAGACCTTCTTTAAGGAAGGCACGTATTTGAATGGTGGCAAGAATAAGGTAAGACCACTTAGTTAATTTAGGGTGAAATTACTAATTCCCCTATTTCCCTACTGAAACCTTAAGACCTCCGTGCAGGCAGGTATATATTCGAATGGTGGTAAGACCTACTCATAGGCACACAGTATTAAAGTATGGTTCAGCCAATTCATGTATAAGCCTGTAATTTGTTTCTAAGGTTCTAATAGCAAATTTACAGTGGTCTGACCATCAGAAGATTTAGTATGTCCTCGGGTATTTCGGACTACTATATAATAGAGGAGGCATAATTCCCTCTACTGACTATAATTTCCCCTACTGTGTTCAGTATCATTACATAATATAAGGGTAAAGAGACCGTTTCACAGAGCAACCTTTGTCTTTCTGTCTCTGTGCTTTCAGCTATTTTTTAGTACGATTTGTCCATTTTCCCTGCGGTAATAATATAATATTTTAAGCAGGAAGATACATTAGGTATATTTATAAGCACTGTAGAGGTATCTGCGACCTCTTTGATATTGATGATTGCTTCTCAGCATTTATAGGAGATATCAACTAATCCTCTCATTAGAGTTGTTCCTTAACTAGAGGGATTAGAAATCAGGGTAATACTA